TTTTTTTTGGTTTCACTTTTGTTTAATTTTGATAGTGCATATTTTTAAAAACTCCTGTTTTGATTTTGATTTTTTCTATTTATTTTATTTTGCATTAATGAACAAAAATTTGTCTACTCTTTCGCAGAGCCTCGAAGTGGACGTCAAAGGCGAAGCAGAACTGAACTCCGTCGCAAGTCTGCTGGGCGTGCCACCAGCTGCACTCTTCCGCGGGCTCACCACTCGCACTCACAACGCACGCGGCCAGTTGGTTAAATCTGTCTGCGACGCCAATATGTCCAACATGACACGCGATTGTCTCGCGAAAGCCTTATACTGTCGCACTGTGGCCACCATTGTCAGACGCGCCAACAGCCTCAAGCGTCTGGGCTCCACCTTGGGCACACTTAGCTCCGATTCCAATGAATCTGTACACAATCAAGCGGACGTTGCATCGCAGCATGCCTCTACGATTGGCGGCAACTCTGGTTCCAAATCAATGGCTGCCTTAAATAATGCTGTTCGCCATGCCACTGACGGTTTCATTGGCATTCTGGATATGTTCGGCTTTGAAGAACCATCACATGCACAGCTGGAGCACCTGTGCATCAATCTTTGCGCTGAAACTATGCAGCACTTCTACAACACGCACATTTTCAAGTCTTCAGTGGAGTCGTGCCGCGATGAGGGCATAGTCTGCGATGCCGAAGTCGACTATGTGGACAATGTGCCTTGCATTGACCTCATATCCTCGCTACGCACCGGTCTATTGAGCATGTTGGACGCTGAATGCTCCATCCGCGGCACAGCCGAGAGCTATGTGGCCAAGATTAAGGTGCAACACCGCAACTCCACGCGTTTGGAGACCAAACACTCGAGCGAACCCTACGATCCGCGCGTATTTATGATTCGCCACTTTGCCGGGCGCGTGGAGTATGACACCACCGATTTTCTCGACACAAATCGCGATGTGGTGCGCGACGACTTGGTTGCCGTCTTCTATAAGCACACCTGCAATTTTGGCTTTGCCACACATCTATTCGGTTCCGAATTGAAGGCGCTGTATGCCCTACAGAATGTGCCACGCGGTCTGAGCTTCCGCATTTCGCCCACATCACACACAGATCTGCTGAATGGCGACGAGCCGGTCTCTACACTCACACAAGACTTTCACACACGCTTGGATAATCTGCTGCGCACGCTGGTGCATGCGCGTCCACATTTTGTGCGTTGCATACGCAGCAATGCCAACGAGACGGCCGGCTGTTTTGAGCGTAAAATGGTCGTGCGACAAATACGTTCGTTGCAGGTGCTGGAGACGGTAAATCTTATGGCTTCAGGTTTTCCGCATCGCATGCGCTTTAAGCAATTCAATGCGCGTTATGTTGCCATGTTGGCGCCATTCCGGCTGCATCGCCGTGGTGAGGATAAAGCAATGGAGGATTGTAATCTAATACTCGAGTATGCCATGGAAAATCCACCAGTATTGGATGGTTCGGTCACTCTGGCATGGGCGCCGGGCAAGCGGCACGTCTTCCTCAGCGAAGGTATGCGTCAGCACTTGGAGCATCTGCGTGCCGAAATACGCACAAAGAGTGCTACGCTGATACAGGCCACCTGGCGTGGTTGGCAGTGGCGCAAGAAGATGGGCGGCGGGAAACGAACGCGGGTCGGCGGCGGCAATAGTGTCATGCCTATTCTGCCAGCTGTAACCACAACGAAGCTAACAAAATTGTTGCCCAACAGCGGCGCGAATTCACGTAAGTATTGGTGCATAGCAGCGTATCAAATGCAGTGCAATCATTTTGTAATTGATTTCTGTTTTGTTTTTCTCTTTTGATGCTTGCTGCTTTGATGTGTGCAGTGCCGCGCTTGTCAGCTAAATCCACAAATCTGATGGGCACCGTAACGCGTCCACGACCACAACCAATCGCCGGCACACCACCGCCAGATCCAAATGAGAAATGCGATACAAAGATAATCCAGCAAACTTGTAGTCTTTTCGGATTAGATTTGGTGAGTACCACTTTGCGCATTCTACGCTTGATCATTTTTGGTATCTAACACCTGCCGCTCCTTGTCTCACCTATTCCATTGTTCTAAAATTTCTTTTCTTTGCATTTTAACACGTAAATTTGGATTTACTAACTTACACATTCGCTTTATTTAGTTACATAGTCCTGTCGAGTATGGTTGAAAGCAATCTTTTTCTTTGCTTTTTTAACTTTTTAATTTCTACTCGATTCAGAATTTTATTCAAATAATTAGGGTAGGTTTCGAATGTCAGCTTTTTGTTGAAAGTGGCATTATAATATCTATAAAAAAAGTTTGAACTTTACATCAATAAGAACAAACGTCATCTTGTATGAAATCAAGAGAGCCAAAGGCTCCTCACCGTAATAATTATTTGTGCACCCGAAATTCAATCGAAACAAAAAAAAAAGGAAAAAATTAGGAAAATTTCACAATATACTCGAAATTTTGAGGGTGTACGAGACAAACGGACCCCAGATTCGGATTCGGCGGATTGAAATAAAGGTCGGTAGGTGGGTCTGGTTGAAAGCACACGCCACTTTTTTTGTGTGCCGATGTTATTATGTCTTTATGTTAATCAATCAATTATTGAGGGAAAATAGTATCGCTTTCTTAATGCTGAAAAGCGAATCTGATATATCAAACGTGCTGTAATGAGAGTTAAATCCTGGCATTACCAACAGAGTGGCTCGTGCAATACAAAATTAGTTTTACAAGCTTTCAAAATTAGAGGACTAAAGATAACACCGTATAACAAAACCAAAAAAAATTTCAAAACACGCGAAGGAATCGATATACTAACGAAACTATGGGCCAAATATAGTAAAAATGCGTTTTTATCTTTTGAAATTTTAAAGATATGATTAATTCAAAAAATTATTTAAACAAATCAGTGAAATGTAGTGTAACAATATTGGTACCAAATGAGGGAGGAAATTCTGTAGAATTTAAAAACATTCGTGTTTTTTGCTTTACAAGGACGAATAGGTATTGAAAATGCGTTTTAAGTTAATAAAGTTTGCAGGACGAAATTCGATGATGACGTCGTATGTATATTGGTTCTCAAGCAATAATTTTTTCAAAAACAAATATTGCAAATTTTCGAGGACATTTAAGAACAAAATTTGTAAAGGACATTTTCTAGACCTATTCGTCCAAAAATTTCCATAATTTCCAAGAGGCTGCCCAGTGGAGATCTGTAATCGGCGGGGAAAAAGACAGGGCATAATGTTGTCGTTGTAGTGTCTACTCAACTGCGCTCAGATCAGCTTGTCCGTTAAACATTGTCGTCAGGCTCAGCTAAGAGGAGGCCCAAGAAGTGTGCGCAAAACGGAATTTACAGGTCGAAGGTCGATGCAGGTTGCGACCGACTCCCTGTGAATGTCGTTTAAGGCCTGTCGGTATGTCGTCGGGTCCGGACGTTACTTTATGGACATCGTGCGATGGCCAGGGTTCCTCCGCGAGAAACTGTCTGTTCGAGTGCCCACGTCCGTAGCACCCTTTTAGGAACTGCTTGCAGAGCATTGTGTTAAGCTTCTTTATGGGGATCATCTGAGGCTCATCGTGTAGGTGATGTTGAGGCGACATCAGAAGGCATCCGGTCGGGGTTCGAAGTGCCGTGTTTTGGCATATCCTTCTGGTGCTTGAGGGAGCTTTGATTTGTGATAATTAAACAGACAATTGTCAATTGTCTTCGCTATCGGTCGGTAAGACTCGCCCTTGTTGGCCGGTTTCCCCGGTTAAAGCAGTGAAACCACTCTCCCATTTTTCAGATGTCCTGAATGATAAGAGTGGCCATAGACAGGTTGAGGACCTTGGTGAGGTAGTCTACTCCTGCAGGACCCAATTTCGTCATTGAATAATCGAACACTCTAGTGGCAATACAAAAGCGCACACCACAAATAGCAGGAGAAGCAAACGTGTAAGCGCCAAAGATTTTTGTTTCGCATATCCATTGGTTTTTTCGAGCACAATGAAGAAGAAATAAGTAAGAGTAGTCGTTTGGCTTTAGATAAGCGGCTCTCAGTTTTGCCTTTTAGCAACTAATAGCGCCTCATCCGCAGCAGACAGCGAGAAGTAATTATGTATGTAGAAGCCTGGTTTTTTTACACCCCAGGGAAATGCACATTATGTATAGTAATTTTTAGCATTTCCTCGCGAGATGCCGTCCAGACGCGATTCGGTTTTGGAATATATAACGGAAAGCCAGTTTCTTCGCCAGAAACCTTTCTCGGGCGATTACCGTGCGGTATAGGCTCCTGCCTCATGAAACACTCTCCCAAATACTCACAATGCAAGTTCATTGGAGACAGTTAAGGCGTGTCGCACAGGGGTCAAAGTTCACATTCCTCTATACTATAGAGTCTATAGAGACTCAAAAAATTATAATTTATTTATTTTTCATCTTATACCCAAAATCGGTACTACCATATTCCAAGATATCACATATAAATTTTGGTCCCGATTGGAAACAGTTAAGGCGTATCGCAAAGGGGTCAAAGGCGAGATGGAGACTAGTGTTGCAACTTATCTTTATTTATTAATTTGTAATAATTTGTAATAATTTTCATTTAAAATATGGGTCAATCTATAATAGGTACCACATAAATAAAAGTTTCAAATCCTGCAAAAAGCTCACAAAAACTAATTAAACTTAAAAATAAATTTCATCAAAAGTTAAATTTTTTTAAATTTGATTTCCTAAAAATTAAGTTATAGCGCAATAAAGTGCAAGTTTCAAGTCGCTAAAAATTACCATTGATTTCTTAGAATTGTTTTCGTGGAGGGTTTTCCCCATTTTCTTTCATATAAAAGTCAGTTTTGTTCATATGTTAAATGGAAGAAAATTCGCAATACCCTCCACAAGAAATTCTAAAAAATCAACGGTAATTTTTAGCTATATTTTCTTACAGAGTTGCATGCAAGTATGCTTGGTAAGGACCTACTCACAATAGCCGCACTAAAGCATGACCATGTTGAGTAGAAGTTTACGGGTTGGAAGATTAATGAAATTGTCGAAAATTCGGGAAAAATCTTGTCCCGGCGGAACATTTCAAATTTAATGCAAAATTCGGGACGTCCTGGCAAATACGGGACATTTGGCAACGCTAATAAAGGAGACTCAGAAAATTCAAATTTTTTTTTTTGTCATTTAATACCCAAAATGTATAGTACCAAAGTCGAAGATATCACATATAAATTTTGCACCCTAATGTGCACATACTACCAATATCGATTATATGAATTTCTTTAACGTACTTTATTTTCTTTTACTTTTTCAATAACCTACTCCACTTTGACTTCTACGACACGTGTACATACATACATATGTACATATGTATGTATGTATATGTATGTGACCTTTTGACTTTCATCAAATTAAATTCATTTTATGTATTTTTAAAGTTTAATTTACTTCACAATTCCCCATCATCCATCCTTCCTTTAACACCCACTAAACAATCAAAAACTAATCGCCTGTCCAAGCGCGACTAACCATTCACTTTCATTCGCTTCAGCACGTCCCACTACTCAGGGCTTTCATTTATCCATTCACTGATTTCCATTATTAGCCGCAATAAATTTGTTTTCCTCCGTATTGGACATACTTCATCATTCATTGTTTGTCAAATGCCTTTCAATTGAATTCTTTTCTTATCTCTATGCCGCTTTTGTGCATCGCTGCCACGCCGTCATGCGATTTTCTGCTGCCTAATGCTGCCGCTATGCTGATGGTTGACATCGATGACGTCTTTTACTGTCGTACATCAACAAAAAAAAAAAAAAAAAAAAAAAAAACATTAAAAAACCAATGAACAACATACTTTTTATTCTACACACAATCACGGTGCTTATACTTTTGTATGTATGTATGTGCTTATGTAGGAGCGCCCACCACCAGTACCACCATCGCGTGCCTATACCATTGCTGGCAGCTTGAAGCTTAGCTATCCGCAGAGCCGCATCATGAAAATGAATTTCCCCGAGGATCCACCCATCGTTAATCCGGCCGAACAAATGCAGCAACAGTTGAAGAAGGGCGAAGCTGTCAGTGTGGTTGGAGCGTCGACGTGTCGTGGACACTTGATTGTCGAGCACAAAGGTCAGAGCTATCACGTACCGTTTCAGTATATGGAGTTGTTGCGTCCATCAGCTGGTGCAGCTGGTGCAGCTGCTGCTGTTGCTGCTGTTGCTGCTGCTGCTGGCGGGGTGACCAGTAATCCAAATAACGCTGCAAGTGTCAACAGCAACAACAACAACAACACTAATAGCAATAGCAACAACATTGCCAATAAGAATAGTAGTAGCAGTACGGGCAATTTGGCCAACAATTGCAATGGCAACAACAACAATATTGGTTTAAACAATGGGAATAACAGCAGTGCTAGCAACAACAACAATGCAAACACTCCGACAGCTGTGAATATTTGAAGAGTGTCCAGGCGAGCAGTGTGAGTGCGGAGTGAAAAACGCTGGCTAATTGTTGAGCGCGACAGGTGCGCGACTGCAGCCACAATAACAAATCAGTGTGGCTTCCGTTGCAGGGATGAGTTTGCAGCCCGAATGTTTCCGTTGGAAAACATCGAGGCCTTCATTTGGATTTCTTTTTTCACACAAAGACTGTAAATAGTTATTATAGTTACTCGTTCATATTTGCGGCAAGCAACGAACGTACATATATTAAAGTAGATATGTAAAAAGACAGACGAACATGTATGCGTAGAAATAGCAAGCATTGAAATGACTAAATAAAAACAAAAAAATAAAAGAAATTGAAATAAACGCAAACAAAAAAATATTAAAAATAAATTACATATGTAATAAAAGAATTCATTAAATTAAAATAAAGTAAAAAAAAAGTTTAAATTAAATATAATTATATAACTGAAATAATAAGCATTTAACGGCTGTCAAACAAAAAATTATAATTAAATTAATAATATAAAATGAAATTAATGAAATGAATTAATAATATAAAATTAAATAATAAAAAAATATATAAAAGTTAAATAAAATAAAATTCAATTAAGGCGATAAAAATAAAATAAACGAAAAAAATAAAACAAATTATAAAATAAAAAATAATAATGTCAAACAAAATAATGAAATAAAAAAGCAATAATAATATCAAAAAAATAAAAGGTAATTACAAAAAATGGTAAAATTAAATTAATAACAATATAAAATAAAAAATTAAGTGAAATAAAATTGAAAAAAATAACATCAAATAAAATACTTTGAAATAAAATAATACTAAATAAAAGAAAATAAATTAAAATGAAATAGAATAAAATATAAAAAAATAAAATAAATTAAAATAAAAGACCTAAAATAAAATAAAATTAAGAAAAATAAAATAATCTTAAAAGCAAATAAGCAAATTATAAAAAAAAACAAAATAAAAATAAAAAAATTAATAAAAGAAAAGAAAAAACTAAACAATATTGAATAAACAAATTAAAACATATTATAAAATCAAAAATAAGAAATCTTTAAAAAAAAAATTATTAAACATAAAATCAAATCAAAATACAAAAAAAAAATAAATAATAAAATTAATATACAAGACAAAATTTATATAAATAACTGAAAAAATTATAATATAAACAAAATTAAACAAACGGAAATAACTGAAATAAAGTAAAATAAAGAAAAATAAAATTAAATAAGACAATTAAAATAATACATAAGACGAAATAAAATAAGATATCGCAAAAATAAAATACAAGAAAATAAAACTATTACGTAAATTTATTACAAAATAAAAATGATGAACTAACAAAAATTTTATAAAATAAAATAAAACAAAATTGAATAACAAAATGAAAATAAATAATTTAAAAAATATAAGAAATTTAAATAAATAAAAATTTAGATCAAATACAATTAAAGTATGTTGAATAAAATAAAAAACAAAATAAAATGAAGCGAAATTAAACAAAAAATACAAAAATAAGAATAAATAAAATATCGATAGCAAAATTTTAACAAAATATTATAAAATAAAATAAAAAACTAAACAAACTGAACCAAAAATGATAAAAGACGTCAAACAAAACCAAATAAAAAGATAATTAAAAGATAACAAATGTAAAAGAAATAAAATTCAATCAAATTAAATTACTTAAGGTAAAATAAAATAAAATATGTAAATCAAAAAAACTTTAATAAAAGATTAAATCAATTAAATACATTTTAAAAAATACTTAAAACCCCAAATAAATGAAAAAAATGGTATGTAAATAAAATAAAGCTCAATAAAATGTATTGCAATGAAAAAAGATAGTTTAAAAATATTATAAAAAGTTTTACTAAAAAATTACATATCGCACACCTAGGTCTAAAGTGAGCTAACTAAAAATTCGGATCGAGAAATATAATCGCTTGTGGAACGTACAGATGCAACGCAATTAATACAACAACTGGTATAACCGTAGTTTTTAGTTAGTGTATATAATCATGAAAAAAAAATATATATATGCCTTCATTTGGGGCAAATCCTATGAATTTATTTATGCAAAAAATCGTCAAACATTTTTTTTTTTTAGTTGATCGCACTTTAGATCTACATAGTTGTGCGATATGATCAAATAACAAATAAATTAATTTAATAAACTAAAAAAAAAATCGATCGAAAAAATCAATCAATGAAATGAAAAAATTAAATTAAATCAAGCAAATCAAATGCGTATATAAATACTGTCAATTTTTTTTTAGGATTTCCCTCGTTGAACTACATACATAAGTATTACCTTATTTAAGAACGTAAAATATATATACACATATACGTATCTAAAAATACACATACATACATATATAAATCCATAAATATGCCAATTCCTTCACTAAGATCTTTCATTCTGCAAATAAATCCACTATACTCCACTAATAAAGACATGCAGCCCAGTTCTTAATACTCCCGGGGAATTTTTTATCCGAAATTTTTTTTCTCCCGATAAAGAAATCCTCCAATAATGAACTCCCAGGGTGTAGCATTTTCCCTGAAAACTTGGAAGGAGGAAATTCGAACTTCGAAAAAGCTGTTTGACACTTTTTTGAGAGCTCAACTCCGCCATTTAATATCAAAAAATCCTCAACGAATTTGTATGCATGATAGCAGGAAAGGGAAAATAGAGCAAAATCTCTCAGTTATATCTCTATACTAAAATTCCAAGCCATATCTCAAATAAAAACAGTATTTATTGATATCTTTCAAACAGCTCAGTAAGCATTTCCTAAGTAACTAAGTACATTTAAAACAGTTGTTTCCTTCGCCTGAAAATTTTCAAAGTTGTCAAGTAGAGTATTGATGGCGAGAATATATATAAATCTGTATTATTGATTTATTTATTTTTTTGATTTATATACTTTCAATTTAAATACGTATGCTATATACGCATCCATATAAACAATCATTCATTAAGAAATATCATAGTACAATAAGTACTTCTAACAATCTTCATTTTTTTAGTAACTAAGCACAGTACTCAATTGCATTTAAATAACAAACGAATCATTATTAGCAAGTAAAATAACTTATGTATATTTAGACATAGAAATACAAAAAAAACTTTGATACATATTTACACACTTCAAATTTCACATTAGCTTGTGCATAAAACTAATTTGCATAATTTAAAAAAAAAAATATAAACAAAAGTATTAAATTTTGTAAGCAGCTTAATTATATGTATACTCTTACATACTCACACACATATACATTATACTTAAAAATTAATAAATATCAAATACATACAACCTACATGTATAATATATGTAAACACGCACTACAAACACATACATAAACATTAACGTACAAACACACCTAAAAATAAGAATTCATACTTGTGTACTACTTGTACAAACGTACATTCTGCGTATTTACAACGAATATACATACATATCTACTGATAGTATTGTGAGCTAACATGACAAGCAATAAATGTTCAAAAGTTTAACTTTTGTATTAAAATTTGCAAATAAGTTTTATACTATCAATAAAAATTGCAATAAACATAAATAATTTTAGAAAACAGAAATTGATTACTTTTTTATTAAAATATGAATTTAAATGCATATTCGCTTTAAGTTGTAAGTACTGGCGCCATAAAAATTCCTATAAGCATAAATATAATAAAAGGTGTATTCTTTTGTAAACGACTTCCAATAGAACTTTGTGCTCAGCTGCGTCAGTTCGTCGACTTTATAATTACGAGTACCTATTGTGGCGCAAAGGCCTTGAAATTCATAGTATATAAAGGCGAAATTATTCAGCTGTATCTCCTAGCTATCATGGGCGAGGATTTTGTAGCCGTCTGGCTATCTGTGAAAATGTATATATCCACGATGTAGAGAATAAAGGTGGCGCCCATCTCGGTACCGCTATTCCGCTCTTAGCAAATTTGACAGAATCGTTGTTTGTATGACGTCACACTTGTGCAACTTGTTTATGTTTTACTTGCAAAATTTTTTCTTCTTCCATTCTTGCTCGCGTTTTGGCATTTCTCTCTCGCAATTGCACCAGTGTGACGTCACACAAAAGTTATTCTCAAAAATCCTCTCTGATGGGCGCAATCTTGTATTCTATCATTCTTGAGTATTGAGAGAACAAAATTATCCAGAGAAAAAGTTCTGAGAAGTTAGCAGCATTCGCTCTCAAAGAGACAAAATATGCACACAAGTACGAGAACGTAAAATTTGAAGATACGATTTTGAGACGCCTATGATTGAAAATGCAGTCTGGGGCATATGCTGTATTATATTAATACAAGTAGTAGTCGACTTTCCACGCTGCAAAAATTTGAGTATCAGGTAACTCTACTGCGATATCGTTTAAAAGTAGTACATGCAAAAGGACCAGGTGCAAACTAGTAGCTTGTTATGCTGATCTAGGCCCAACCTCTTCGTTGTTCATCGGTAATTTGATCTGGTTGCTGAATGTGAATATTAATAAAGTGCCCCCAAAAGTTACTGCGTTCAGTGTGTACCCACTCAGTAATTATGGCTCTCGAAGAGGACCCACTGACACCAGAGAATGTTTCAGGTACCAAAAAGCCAGTTAGCGACCCCTCTCATGCTAAATCGTCGGTGAGCTCGTTGCCTTCGATTCCATAAAGGGTCTGGTAGCCAACACAGTGTTATAGTGTCATGGTCTGCCAAAATTTGTAGCGGCCTCTATACGGTCAAAAATTTGGGTTTAATTTTTAAACCGCGCTGGGACAAGTGCGCCTTCTTGCGAGCGTTCGTGTGTTCGATGCTGTGGTGCAGCCAGACAGATAATGAATGAGGCTTCCTTCGCCAGTAAATCTATAGGGTGCAGCCCAGCCACTACAACGGCTGCATCTTCTGAAACCATCCGAAATGCTGAGCAAATCCTTAATGCACAGAGTCTATAGATCGACTTGCTGCCACGACTGATTGAAGGTACTTGGAGTGTATCTATCCAAATCTCGGACTCATATAGGATCACTGATTGCGGTACGCTGCCAAGTAGTTGCCTGCTCTTCTCTTTGGCGTCGCTTGCGTTAACCATTATCCTGGTGAGCGCTCACTTTTTCAGACCCTGTAACCTTCGCGCCGACTGCGATATCATCTGCGAATCCTCAAATTTTTGATCCTTTTGATTTTATCTCACACAAGATGTAGTAGCTTTGTGCAAGTAAATACAAATTCGTGAGAAATTAGCATGCTCTC